TTATAAATAAATTACTTAATAAAATTAATTATATAATAATGTATTATGTTATAAATTTATAATAATACGTAATATTATAATTATAACATTTTTACTATTAAAAAAGTGGACGCTAATTTCTCATGTTGCTGTTTAGTGATGAAATTCCAGCCACTAGGTCGGTCATCGCCTTTTCTGAGAGGAATCGGTAGGTAGCTGTCAATTGCGGGCCATGACCCCATTGTGGCTGCTAAATATCTACGGTAATACATTGAAAATGAATAGAAAAATGAAAATATGCACTTTCTTTTTTTCTTAATGAACACGTCACTAATGGAGATGAACAGTTCTAATTTAAAATCTAATGCTACTGAATCAGAACAGACCATTCTATGCCCCTTCTTCCTTCTTGAATAATTATTGGAACTTATAATGACAACGTCCGTCCTGAGCCATTCAAGACTTATCTAAATCCTTACTATTTAGTCCAGAAAAGGACTAGAGGCCACAATCAAAATTCTTCCCTAGTCCCAACCAATGGACAACAATATTCACCAATTTGTACAATTATAATTAAAAGATTAAATTAAACTTTTGATAGGCTTTAAATTTGAATTATTGAAAAAAAAAAGGTTTTATTGCGATAAGGACATTGAGATTTTAAAATGAGGAATATACAAATGATAATGTTATGACAATAAAATAAATTATCTAGACCAAACTAGTTGTTTGTTGGTGTTGATGGTAATAAGATTAAATAACGAGACTTTATTGTGAGTGAATACACTTCTATTTTTTTTTTATTTTATATATATTTTTATATAATTTTAATAATTTTAACTTTTTTATTTGAAAGCATTTAAATTTAATTATTTATTTTTTAAAAATTATTATTATTATTATTATTATTTTGAATTTAAAGGAATTTTTGGGATTGGAGAGTAGTAACTAAATATTGAATTTAGAACTTTACGTTTTAACACTTTTTATAAAGGAAGTGATTATTAGATCATGTAGTGTTGAACTTTAAAAGAAATATTATTTAATATATATATTTATTTTATTTTTAATTTAAAAATAATTAT